TGGATGCAACTGACGAAGTTGGAATTTGAACCTGGCTCACCGATTCCACTTTCGGTGCACATCAAAATTAAGCCAGTACAGAAGTTTAATTATTTGGGAAGTGTTTTAACGGATGTCGAAAAATGTGACCTGTAATCTGAAAGCACGTTGAAATAGCAAAAGGTACCTTCGAAAAGCTAAATAAAGTATTAAGAAACATGAAAATTTCATTACGAACTAAGAATTGCTATGTAATACCAGTCTTTCAGCAAACTTTGACCTTTGTGCCCGCACACCCACCAAAAAACCCCCAAAAACCCCCCCAAAAATGGTGTGTTAAAAAGATGGTTTTCCCTTGACATTATTATTATTATTATTATTATAACTACTTTCACTCCTCGGCAATGTTTATTGTTTTAAAAAGCGATGATTAGAATTTTAATAAAACCTAAATATTTGAAAATGAATTCATATATTTTCTTTGTTCTTGAGACTTGACAAAAAAAGTATAAACACTATTAACTTATTATATTGTTTATTGGAATGGTTGACAAACCATCGCCTAAATGCGAATTGATTCGAACTTTATAAAATGGTAAATAATAAGGATTTCTTTATAGTTGGTTTACATATTTTAATAATTTAGTAAATGTTTATAAATGAGCGCCAAAAACTGGGAAATGATCTGCAAGGTAACATGAAAGACAATGCCTCGCCGAGAAATAATAACGCAAAACCTGTTTCTCATATAATAAAATATTTTTTCAGGGCTTTGCTTCCTCGTCTGGGTCGGTAGATAAGTGAATCTTAGGACATCTGCTATGTTGGTCTAACAGCTCAGCTCTTCTCTCCTACTAACTCAACGCTCATCCTGGTGTAAATGGAGAGCATCGGAACCACACGACGGACAATTCAGTCTCTCGTCAAGGACGGACCAGAACTGACCTTCCAATACTAAGCATGACTGTTAATACAAACCAACACCCGGAAATAATCAATATCCGGTTTTTTGTTGCCTGGTCTCCAAAATCTCATTCACTCTTATACTTTCCCGTTCCCCTTCGGTCTTTAACAGGAATCATTTTCTGGCTATCAAAGAGAAACACTTGAGATCAAGATAAAACCATCTTTTCTTTTTCTACATAGGTGTTCATAATATAACACACACACACACGCATATGTGTGTGTGTGTGTGTGTTTGTGTTTGTGTGTGTGCGTGTGTGATGGCTGAGAAAAATTCTCGGCTTGACCAAGAAAATTTATGTAAAAAAAAAAAAAATCGATTTTTGGACATTTAAAGAGATTGTCGGAAATTTTTCAGGCGAGAACTTTTCAACACCACCCCCTGGTCTTTAATTTTTGTAAAATACGGAGGGAGTCACATTTCAAAGAGCAATACAAGAGGTAATATTATTGACTTACCAAATAAAAGAAGGTGACAACACTGAAGAATTTGCATTCTAACTTCGACACGTGCTTCTTTTTCTTATCCTCTTCCTCTTCCTGGTTTTTCTTTTTCACAGAAAGTTTCCTGCAAAAAAAATAAAATAAAATAAAAAAATAAAAAAAGTAAAAAAATTTTTTAAAAAAATTGGTATTTCATGGAATATTTTTCTCAAGCAAAACCGTACCGACACCAGTATTAACTAGATTGTCAGCCCAAATAGGAGTTTCGGTCCAAATCAATTTCGTACCAATCAGGATTCTATTCTCCCTTTTTGCGGAAAGTAAATCCTCTTAACTGAGATTAATTTCTCGAAAGCCTCATATCTGCTCAGTTTCGTATCCGAAACGTAAACAAAGCAATTTCTAAAGAAGTAATGGATTTAATTTTAATCATATATATTATTTTCAAACGTTATTATATGATATACAGTGGATAATTGTTAAGGTATCATTTTTGCAATCTAAGTGAATTTTGTAAAGGTAATATTGACTATTCTAGTGTTAAATATATCGTTTACTCTTAATAATTTACATTAGATCAGCCGTAAAGCATTAATTTGATGATATGACGTCAAAAATCTGAAGGTATTAGGTTCAATATGGCGGTTGTTCAATAAACGCAAAAATAGTGTTATTTTCCTTTTTTACACTGTTATTAAACTAATTGCATTTGTTCGTGAGGTTGCATCAAAACGAGTTCTTCGTATTAATATTACTAATAATAAAAAATATTACCTATACAAAATTCACTTAGATTGCAAAAATCATTTCTTAACATTTATGCGACTTCATTTGCTGTACAAATAGTTTATCCTGTTATTAAAGAAGACAGGATTTATGGCCTTTAGTAAGAGGAAAAGTTCGAAATGCAAGCTCCGAATTGGAAACATTAAAATCAAGCTTAACTATTTGGGAAGTGTTTTAACGGACGTCGAAAAATGTGACACTGTAATATATATATATATATATATATATATATATATATATATATATATATATATATATATATATATATTAAAATCAGGAGATCAGTTAAAATATGTGACTACGATTTCGACCTGACGGTCTCTTCGGGCGATACTTTTAAAATGACCACTTTAACGCTTTATTTCAAAAACCACAAAGAACGCTACATAATTATTAAAATAATAATATATATTTATATATATATATATATATATATATATATATATATATATATTTATATATATATGTGTATTTGGTCGGCAAAAGTCCAAATTACTGTTGATAATCAAAATTTTCAACGATTTTTTCTCGATCGATCTTTTCTGCTCACGAAACACATCTTAACGTAGACAATGACAACATATAATGAAACAGATCAATTCCGACAATTATTTAATATATATTCTGCTTATACATTATTTTTATAATACTATTTATTTAAGTAAATGGTTTGTTTTTAATTAAACAGTATTAATTGCATTTACCGCCCTGAATATTCGAAAAATTTTGTAGAAAATATGTGTTCTCCGCATTTTATAGATACATTGTATCAATAAAAATAACGTATAAACAGAAAATATATTAAATAATTGACGGACTTAATCCATTTCATGTTGTCATTGTTTACGTTAAGATACGTTTCGTAGGCAGAAATGGTCGATCGAAAAAAAAATGTCGAAGATTGTGTGTCTATAAACAGTAATTTTACTATCCAAACGCTTCTCTGTAGTTGAATGGTACAGCATGTCTGATCAAATGACGGTTTCCATATATATATATATATATATATATATATATATACAGTGTAACCCGGATATAAGAGAGTTGTCGGGACCGGAGAAGAAGTCTCTTATATCCGGGTTTCTCTCATATCCGGGTTTGGTCTATTTTATATACATTAACACAGGCTCTAATTTGGGACCAGAGAAAATCTCTCTTATATCCGGGTTTCTCTTATATCCGGGTTACACTGTATATATATATATATATATATATATATATATATATATATAATTACATGAATCATTCATACAAAAACAAATATAGAGGTTAATGATTTTAAATGCATAATACATCTTTTAAAACAATTTTTTTAAAGATGTAAAAAGACCCTGTAACTGGAATTTATGAACCCTGTTTATAAATTCATTTGCATACAGGCCTTTTTTAGTTTTTTATTTTAAGAAAAAAAAGACCTTGTTTGCGAAGATGTATTCTCGCCATTTAAATCATTAACCTCTTATATTTGTTTTTTTGTATGAATGATTCATGTAATTATAAATTGAACTGCACCTATCATCGAAATTAAAATAACTGATCCAACGTGCAACTTTCGGATAATAAGTGTGATATTCCTGTAATTATTGAACAATATAGTTCATGCCTCATTGACGGAAAACCTACCAGTACAAAAGAATTCTCCTATTAATATATTTGTACAAAAACGCACAACCTTAAAATTTAAAATTCAAACTCAGCGTTGCGACCGCACGTTCCAAAACAATAACACATTTCTCATAGCATTTTTTCGGATTACATCTATATTTTCGTTGTCTTCTTATTACCGAGAAGTAAAAAACAAGAACAAATCTATTTCCATACCTGAAGATGTCTGTAGGAACAGACGAAAGCTTGTAAAAACTTAAAAATACCTTATGCAACTGGAATTTATAAGCAGGGATCATATCATTCATATACAGGTTCGGGGTTAGTGTATCTTTTCGAAGTTGTGAAATTGTTTGCGGAGATGTATTCTCGACATTTAAATCATTAACCTCTATATTTGTTTTTGTATGAATGATTCATGTAATTGTAAATTGAACTGCACCTATAATCGAAATATATATATATATATATATATATATATATATATATATATATATTACATAATGTACATTTAAGCTGTAAGATTTCATTTAAGGGGATATCTGTCTGTTTAAAATTGTTATTGTAGAGATAACAGTTCGGTCTGATTAATTGATTTGTCTTTTACGGCTTATCAACTTTTCGCAGCTTATTTAAAGCCAGAAAATATTTTTAGAATGTAAGACTTTGGGGTGGGGACGATAATAAAAATTTACTGATACTACTAAGTCCTAGTAATTAACCCATAATGAGGGCGTGGTAAGAGAGGCGGATTCATACCTTTCAAAGTGTATTTGTGCGTGAGTGAATACAACAAACTCGACTGGAATTGGAACTCGGCTCTTCGATTTGCAATTCCAATTATATCACCTGTACTTCCAAGCTTACAACAACTGGTATCCCCAAGCTCTCACCCATCTAGTTACTGACCAGGCTCGACGTTGTTTAACTTCGGTGATCGTACAAGAACCGATGTTTCAACGTGATACGGCAGTAAGCTCCTGTATACATGTGTGTGTGTATGCGTGTGTACGGAAAAGGGTTGCCTGAGAAACGGAATTTCAAGCTGCAGCCATTATTCCAGGAAGCAGGCATTATTCCAGGAAGCAGGCATTATTTAATCAAAACGAAAATGGCGTTCTTTTTTTATTTGCAAATAAAAATGGAAATAAAATGATATAATAAAAAAATATAACTCGAGATAGAACTGGAGACGCACAAAAAATATCCTTAAAGAGAAACACTCACTTGAAAAACATGATGGCATTCTTGGGATTCGGAAGACTTGGATGGTTACACACAAAGTAACTTATAAGCACCAACATCGAGAAGAAATTGTGCATTCCTCCCATCACGTAGATGGCGATCGTATACTGCTCTTGGGTGAGTGTTGTTATATCAGGCTCATGACTGTAAAAAAAAAAAAAAGATTTAGAATAATAATAATAATAATGAAGTATTTATAGACTAGTGTATTGATCCAAATATTATTCTGTTTGTATAGACCAGGGCTTCTCAAACATTTTACTCCATCGGCCACTTTCACATGAAAAAAAAATCCCAACGTTCACCTGTACAGTCAATATTCATAAGCCTACCAAAATTGTTTGGTAAATGTTTCTTACTGGTTTAGAAACTGACTTTATGCTGTAGTAAAAATACCAAAGGGAGGTAACAAATAATTTATATCTGACTTATGCAGCGACTGCAGCTTATACTACAGTATTAACGAACAAGCGAAAGCTATTGACCATTGAAAACTTTATACATAATTTAGTTTTACGGTTAAGGTTAGTTTTATGGATATGGTTAACGTTTAAATGTTGATTAAAAGTTAAACAATTTTTATTCATAATTATAAAATTAAAAAGAATATACAATGCTAGCAACTAATAAAAATTCAGCAAGTATTTTTGTTGTTCTTGGTCTTCCCGTATTTGTTTTATATTCGAAAAAATGTTATTTTGTTTGAAGAGCCATTTGAATGTTTATGACCCTTTTCAAAACTATAGAAAATATTAAAATATCATTGTTTTCGGGTATATTTATAGCTTATCTAAAAATGTGACCCAATTATTGTCATTTAGCCACCCGTTTTTTTTTTAGACAGGTTCTTGCATATCTCATTCGAATAGTTTTTTCGTGTAGCATTGTAATAAGGAACAGATTTTCACTTTGTTCAGGATTCCTTCCTACATCCACACCGACCATGTTTTCTTGTTTCTATCCAAGGAACTGCGTGAGTACTTCACTAATTTGGGTATAGCTACCAGTCGAACAACACCTTACAAGCCCCAAGGAAATGGTCAGTGTGAATGATACAATGGAATTATCTGGAAGCACGTCACTCTGGCCTTGTCTTCGAGAAATCTACGAGAATCTCCATAGGAAGTTGTTCTACACACAGTACTGCATGTCATAATGTCTCTACTCTGTACAGAGACGAACACTACACCCCACAAAAGAATATTTTCATATCAACACCGTTCACCTAGTGTTGATTTCTTGTCCACTTTCCTAGCAGCCCCTGGTTCGGTTCTCTTACGTCGTAATGTCCGTTCTAATAAGTACAGCGGGCGACACTATTTTTGGGACACTTTGAAAAGTGTGCTTAAAGGTGTTTTTTGCTGCCGAGAGCTTTTGTATTGATGAGTAGGTAGTTCAGCAGTAACTGTCCATTAATGGTATGAACATTGATTGATGGGTTTGTCTTTGGTTTCATGTTTTCTTTATTTTTACTTCAACTTAGGCGACACTATTTTTCGGACATGACACAAATTCCGGGTTTTTTAATGATTTAGTCGTCGAACGTCTACAATATGCAAATTTTTTGCAGGTAAATTGTACCCTGACCATTACATTTGAGTATCTTTACCATTCACTGCTAAAACATTTTAAAATCCTGAAGAAGAATGCATTCAAAAGAAGTCATCAGTTTGGTCCAAAAGAAGAGAGAAGACGGGCTCAGCATCCGAAAGATCGCCGTTGAGATGAAGCTACCGAAGTCAACAGTTGAATACATGCCAAGTACAGACTATGAGCGGAAGAAGAAGAAGAGAGGACGGAAAAAAACAATTTTCAAGAGAACAGAAAGAAGAATGAAGAGGAGTGTTACGAGGTTGTTATCATCTGGAGAAAAGGTGACAGCGAAGAAAGTAAAGGAGAAGTATAAACTTGACGTCAGTGTTCGAACTGTACAAAGAAAGCCACATTTGAACTTAAGTATGCTAAAATCAAGAAAAGAATTACACGAAAGAGAAAACACAAGGAGGCAAGGCTGGGAAGCGCCAAAAGATGGATAACAAACCATGTCGACTTCAAGAAAGTGATATTTTAAGTTCGATGGACCTGACGGGTGGTGTACATGGTCGAGAAAAGGTGAACCTGTTATTCTCAACAAGAGACAGATGGGAGGAGGAGGAGTCATGGTTTGGGGTATGGTATTTCCGAATGGAAACTTGTGTCTCGAGTGGTTAAAAGGACGTCAAAATAGCTTGAGCTACAGAGAACTTTTTGAAAAGAGAGCCCTACCACTAAAAGAAATCAAAATTTTATTTTGAAGCAAGATAACTGCAGCATCCATGTGGCCAAATCAGTGAAAAATTGGATGTGTGAAGCAAATATAACGACTCTGGAATGGCCTCCAAGAAGACCAGACTTAAATTTAATTGAAAACATATGGGAAATGGAGCTTGTTTACGACGGCCAGAAATAACAAGAGAGGCTGAACTGCATACAAGATAAAAATAGACTGCTAGAAACCAAGAGACGTTATTATCAGTATGTACGAACATTATGAAGATAGACTGATAGAAGTCATTGAAAAAAAAAAAGGGTGCTGCCATAAACTATTAGCATTGTTTCTGCAATGTCCGAAAAATACTGTCGCCTGTGTAATGTGAAAATTTGTAAAAAATAAAAATACTTCTAATTTGAATTCTGCTTTTCAATTTGTAGTATTGAAACAGTTTTAAATGTTATTGCCATTACACTAAAACAGTACAGACTGCCTGTGCTACCTAAAACTTGAAAAATAAAGTGTCTGAAAAATAGTGTCGGCCCCCTGTACGAACTTTTAATCGACGAGGTTCAGCTGTTAGAAACCAAATCCCAATATGCCTATGTAAGATTTTAGTCACAGAGGGTATGTTAAGAGGTACATCTAAACTATTGGGTTTCAAAAGTTTGTCCATCCTTCAATCCAGGATGTTTATTAAATTGTAATAAGGAAAAGAAATAAAGAAGTACCTTGACAAAGGCTTTAATAAACAGAATGGCCCACGACGGGGCTAAGAGAAAATAATAATACAAGTAAAAGAGGATATATACTGCAAGTTGATGGAAAGAATCTCAAGTATGTGGAATATTTCAAATACCTCGGGAGTATGGTAAATTCAAGTGCAAGAATTGATGACGAGATTGTTAATCACATTGCAAAAGCCAGCGCTTCCTTTAGTTCGCTGCGTCATAGGTTGTGGGACGAAAGGGGAATAATGCTTTGCACTAAAATCAAAGTGTACAAAGCTGTCGTTTGTCAACTCTTTTGTACGAGTCTGAAACTTGAAAACTTTATAGATGGCACATTAAACGATTAGATGTCTTTCATAAAGGTTGTCTCCATACAAACTGTAGTCCAACGTTTGATGATCGAGTGTCAAATGCCGACCTTTTTGAGAAATGCAAGCATGGTACCATCGAGACCTTCATAATGCAATCACAACTACGTTGGACTGACCATGTGGCAAGGATGAGTGCTGATCGCAGACCAAAAGTTCTTTTTACAGTGAACTCTATAATGGTCATAGAAATGTTGGTAGGTCTTGTCTCAGGTATAAAGATAAACTGAAAAGCAACCTTTCTTGCATCAACATTCCATTCAAGAACTTTGAAGAGGTACCTATGAAGAGATCGTTCCAGCTGCTATTCAGAAATAATACACCATCAAGAAGTAAGCATCAGTCGACTGGGTGAAACATGAAAGCAAAATAAGGTAGCTAATAGTGTTCCTGTTGCACTTGGATACAATACATTCTTCTGTACTGTTTTGTGGCCTTTTGTGCAATTCTCGAGCCGGTCTCAAAAGTCATGCCCGTCATAGGCAATGCAGATAATTAGTTCGTGGTCGTCGGAACCTCATACATCGAACTCAATAGGAGAGTCCATCATATATGTATATATATATATATATATATATTACATAGAATAGAAATCCAAATTTACCTCATGAGGCAAATTTGGATTTCTATTCTATGTAATTCATATGCTCTGTTATAATAAATACATTGAGCTCTTTATATTATTAGGATTCACTTGGATTATATACCAACGGATTGTTCCATATATATATATATACTCGACTCTCCCATCGAATGAGAGTCAAGCTGATCAGTACCTAGGAACCGACAGCCAGACACCATGACATGAGATGCAGATTTTGTGCAGAACCATCCACACTTTTTGAAGGACCGAATACAGAGACCTGGTTCACTACGTGTCACAAGGTCCCTAACGACCCTCCACAGGTTTTGAGTTGTCCTTCTCCTAGACCAGTTGCCATCCAAGGCTATAGAGCCAGTCTGTCCTGCTTTTTACCCATGGCTGGAGGGAGAAGAAGATGATTCATACCTTTCCCAAGAATATTAGCACGTGAGTGAATGTAATGGATTCGACTAGAATTCGAACTCTGTTCTCCGATTCCTCAGTCCGAGTCGCTATCCATTACTCCACCGTGCCTCCAAATATATATATATATGTATATATATTTGAACTCTTCCAGAATTATCCACCTTTTGCTGTTCTATATATCGAGGGAATTTAATGTTTATGACAAACATATGCTGAAATACATCTTTAATACTCAAAATCCTATATCTCCCACAAAAATTTCCAATCGACCACCATTTTCTGTTCAGTTGCTCACCGTCCAACCAACAACTGAAAAAAATCACCGGCGTGTGTGCGATATCGCCGATATTGGCTTGTCGTCTACTTGCGTACCAAAACACAAACTTAACGCCCACACCCACAATGTATAGTCAACCTTTGATTAGATTTTCTTGGTGCTAGTATTGTATGACAAATAAGTATCTTAGTATTTCCTATAATAATTGTTATATGAATAGTGTACACCGTAAAGTGAAGGCAAAACACGCTTCAGGTAGAATGTGGGTGTGTGTAGTCTATGTTATGGTTCAAGTGTGACACTACTACTCTTCGGTTCCCCACTTTTTTCTCACTGCAACCCCGGAACTTTCCACCGCCCCCCCTTTGGGAATCACTGCTTTAAATGAAGACGTTTAAACGAAGTTATTGAAATAGCAATGGCTGGATAAAAATCACCCTAAGCACGGATTCTTGGTCTCTCGAGACTGACAGATGCCACACCTGTCTCACCGTGGTCAAGATAATTATGTCTTTCACATTAGGGCCAACCGTCAGTGTCCGTCTCCTCTATTTTGGATGCTTATTTTTAAGGCTGACATGCACCCCCCACCAAAATAAGATTAGCGTTTTTCTACACGATTTTGCCTTTTGACCTTGGACCATACTAAGTTAAGCTTAATATTTCAACCAAAAGTGGCCAGAAATGTTGACGTACTTGTAAATTTCAGCAGTTAATGTGGAATTTCCTTTCTGCAGAGAAGCTTT